ACACGACCCAACACCCTTGTGTGGGATGGACCCTCTCAACAAGCTTTTCAAGACTTAACACAGGCTCTTCAAGGAGAAGTAGTCCTCCATAACCCTGACTACAACAGGCCCTTCATAATACAAACTGATGCCTCGGTCACTGGCATTGGGGCCGTTCTAACACAAGAAATTGAGGGACACGAACGCCCCATACTTTTCTTAAGCCGCAAATTATCTCCGACAGAGCAGAGATACTCGACCATTGAGAGGGAGGCACTAGCAGTAAAGTGGGCCATCAACACGCTTAAATACTACCTGAGTACTCAACCCTTTATAGTAATGACAGACCATGCTCCCTTACAATGGTTATATAAAATGAAGGACGCTAATGCCCGCATACAGCGGTGGTACCTCTCCCTGTTACCCTACAGGTTCTCCGTCCAACATCGCGCAGGGGCCAAGCACCGGAACGCCGACTATCTCTCCCGGATGTACGAGGATTCCCCTGGTGCCCAGAACGAGCTGAGGGGGGGGGCATGTCAGGTACCCCTCTCTCCATCAGCTCAGAAGAGGCCAGAAGGCAACAGACACGAGCAAGGAAGGCCAGATACCTTAACCAGGGCAACAGGTCGAGCCAGGGTCAACAAGAGGACAACACGGCACCAGCACCAAGACAGCTGCGAGGGATCAGCAATCAACCCACCGGACCCGACCGAGCAGCCGCAAGAAGAAGCTTCAGAGAGCCATGGCTTTAAGCGGGGGGGAAACAGGTGTATTGAGAATAATAAAGTTGAAACAGGTGTTCCACACCAGTGAGGAGGTGATTGGGAAGAAACCGTTAAGGGAACAGTGACGGCAACGCACGTGCCCGGGGTTTCTTCCCAATAAAAGGAGTGGAGAAGCAACATGAGGGTCTCTCCTCTTCAGAAAGGTTTCTGAGGTGTGAACCTGGAGGTCAACCGATTGTTCTGCACCTTCGCACCCGCTTAAACCATCCCGGAGAACCGCTAGGACCACAGCCGTCACATTATGAGACTGTTCCAGAGTCATGAATGCTACCACAAAGAAGATCCTAGGCTGAGATCAAATGTAATGTCTGTTGTAGGAATTTTAATGGAGAAGATTGTAATGTAAAAAATGAAGTGAGACACACGTACTTTCCCCCCCTCTACTGAAGGACCTCTCTGTAGACCACACTTTTTTGCTCATATGGAGATGTGTTGTTCTGAGCACCTCAGTGTGACCTTGCTGGTACTTGGCCAGCACAGCTCAGTTCCCTCTAAGCTGAGTTAGTGTGAGCTAGCTTACAGTTTTTTTAGCCTCCAGCTCACACATTTTTGTCTTCGCTCACGAAGGATGGCTCCAGAGCAAACTAATTTATGCAGTAGCCGAATCACCTGCTCACAACTTTAATGCCAGTAGCTCACAAAGTAGAAATTTTGCTCACGAGACTCCACAGCTTAGAGCGAGCATTGCTCAGGAGTACTATGTGCAAATGTCTTTGCTGCATTTCTAAATTACCTCCTCCTTGTAGTGTTGTTGTATCTGGCTCGACGTTTGCCAGGAGCTTTCTTGGGGACAGGTGTGAGGGGGAGTTGGTGTGAGGGAGTGGTGATGTGGTGGACATTTCTTCAGGTTCATGAGGGAGGCACGCATCAAAATGGCTCCTAGAAAGGTCCTTTACTATCTCCCCATGAACATTCATAAACTCAGTTGCCCTGCTGGATGTTATGAGAAATGTCTGTTCGCGAGTCTTGAATTGCTGATTTTTGTAACTGTCCTCAACTGTCTGCAGTCTCTTCTGTGTTTTTACCTCAGAACACTGAGATCAGGCCCGTAGCTAACGTATGGCATATGGGGCCCAGCCTCCCCGGTTTTCATGGGCCCCATCCTCGCCCCCCACCCGTTGCTGCCCTTAGCCCAACAGCCGGCGAGAAGGCTCCTCCATTCCCACCGACGAGGCTGCTGGGAAGCGCTTCCTCCCCGCCCACCCCTTAGTATGCCCGCTGCGCCACTCTTTCACTCCCGATCCCCCTCTGGGGGGGGCTGCTAGCTTGTCTCTCTGGGGAAGGCGGGGGGGCTCCTCCTCCTCCTGGGCATGCAGATCTGCCACCAGGCACCCCCCCCAATTCCCCGCCCCGGGGTGGAAGTTTCTCTGCTGCCCGCCGGTTCCACAGCTTGATTCGTAAACCTTTCCACCTGCCAGTGACTGGAAGCATGTGGCACTCTCTACAAAACAGTTCTGGGGAAAAGCTTGAGGAGGGCTGAGTGGGCAAGCCCCGCCATCACTGGACCTCAACAGACAATCACCCCCGCCAACCCGCCAGTCTTTCCTACCTCAGATGGGGGGGAGGCTTGAAAGTTTCCAGGCAGACGGATAATTCACCGTGGCGGCGGCTGCTACTGGCGTGTTGTGGTGGTGGTGGTTTTTAATTAAAGCAAATATATTTATGTTCGGATGTTTATATTACGCCACGGTGGATACCGCGACGCCCTGGGCTGTTCCTCCCCGGCCCCCCTCCCCCCCAACGCCTTAGCTACGGGGCTGCCACAGACCCTCATGTTGCCCCCTTACCCAATGCTTCTAGGAGGCCACTGCCTTATGTGCCATTCAGGGGACCTGCAAGTTGCCTTCCTCTAATACAGCTCTGCAGATGCTTCTTAGGATCAAAGACTGCATCAGTTAAGCTGTTAAAGTAGGTTAACATGAGAAAGATGGTTTAAGCAATGCTCTCCAATTTGTGCATTCCATTACAAAGGAGAGAGTAGACCAGGTCCATCTCAACATGGTTCCAGTTACCATTGACAGCTGAGACATGAAACTATCTTAAATAAAGGCCCAGGGCCACAGGCCTGCTAGGGCTCAGCCTCAGGCACCTGACCCAGGTCATGGCCCACGTGACTCAGACCCTATGGATTTCTGCCCCACTTTCCATGGCAGGGAACTGCACTGCTGGAATGCTGATGGGCAGTAGATTCAGGACAGACACAAGGGAATACTCCATTACACAGAGAGTGATTAAAATGTGGAATTGGCTGCCAAAGGCTGTAGTGATGGCCACAAGCAGATAGCGTTAAAAAGGGATTAGACAGATTCACGGAGGACAGGCCTATCCGTGGCTATCAGCCAAGGTGACTTAAGGGTACCTCCAGATTCAAACTTCTGAATCCCAGAGCCAGGAGGCAACATCAGGGAAGGCCTCGGCCACTATGCCCTGTTGTTGGCCCTCCAGAGGAACTGGCTGGCCCCTGTGTGAGACAGGAGGCTGGACTAGAGGGACCCTCACTGGTCTGATCCAGCAGGGCTCTCCTTATGTTCTAATGCCAAGCAACATGAAGCTGCCTATATAAGAATGGTTACCCACAAGCATTCTTTACCTGGTCAAGCACACTTAGGGAGACCCTACTGAAGACCACCTGGTATCTCAGGACCCACATAGAAGCTTCCTGCCCTGCTTCTAGCCCAAATCATACCTTCTCCCTACTCCAGTTCTAGCCCCTTCCCTATCCCAACTAGAAACTGTCAGGAATTAGTATCTGAATATAGTAGCCTATTCCCGACATGCAGGGTTGCTCCATTAGCTATGGGGAGTGTCTGGAATGTGCCCCCAAATAGGTATCTGAACCCTAAATACGTTGAATTACATCTCTCCCCCCCCCACCAACCCTTCTTTTACCCATTTGGTATTCATAATTTTAAAAATAGGGTTTTTAGTATCCTGTATGCATATAATTTGTTACATTTTACATAATTTGACAGCCAGTGTGGCATAGTGATTGGAGGATCTAGGAGACCCAGGTTCAAATCCCCACTCTACCACGGAAGCCGCGCTGGGTGACCTTGGGCCAGTCACATACTCTCAGCCTACCCTACCTTACAGGGTCGTTGCGAGAATACACTGGAGGAGAGTGATGTGTAAGCTGCTTTGGGCCCCCATTTGGGAGCTTAGTTGGGTATAAATGAAGTCAACGCAGTGGCGTACGTTCTCACAGGGACATCTCTAAGAGCACGTATACAACCAGTGCTCTGCCCACTACATTGGCTCCCAGCTGAATTCTGGGTCAAGTTCAAGGTTCTGGTATTAACCAAAGGCCTATGAGGTTTGGGGCCAACATACCGCCAGGACCGTCTCTCCCGTTGTGTCTCTCGTAGAGCATTACACTCGTTAGACCAAGACCTGCTGGTGATCCCCAGCCCTAAAGATGTCCACTTAGCCTCAGCCAGAGACAGGGCCTTCTCAGCTCTGGCTCCGGGCTGGTGGAATGCTCTCCCTATGGAGATCCAGGCCCTGCAGGAGTTAATGCCATTCCGCAGGGCCCACAAAACAGAGTTGTTCCACCAGGCCTATGGTTGAGGTGGTGGAGATCTAATTATATTGGCCTCCCCGGTATTGTACTGTTGTCATATGTATTGTTATCATCAGGACTGTCTTTCACCCACCTGTTCCCCCCCCCCAACATTAGTTGTCATCCACCTGAAAGCATATGGGGAACCCATGCGGGAGCAGGTGAAGATGGAGACGGATGGGTCGAATGGTGCCATTGACCATTATTGTTATATACTGAGAGAGCTGATCGTAGTGGTTCGGAGTGTGGACTCTAATCTGGTAGAACTGGGTTTGATTCCCCACTCCCTCACATACAGCTGCTGGAGTGACTTTGGGTCAGTTACAAGTTCTTTCAGAGCTGTTCTCTCAAGGGCAGTTCTTGAAAGAGCTCTCTCAGCCCCACCTACCTCACAGGGTATCTGTTGTGGGGAGGGGGAAGGAAAGGAGATTGTAAGACGCTCTGAGACTCCTTCGGGTAGTGAAGGGCAGGGTATAAATCCAATCTCCTCTCCTTCTTGATATTAATTGTTTCTTCTATGATCGGGTTTTAGAACTGTTATTTTAAATAATGAATTGTGTTATTTATAGCTGTTGTAAAGATGTAAAGATAATTCTTACTCAGCATAGCCAACTTGGTAAAAGGCACATTTGTCCAATCTAAGGCATCTACCAATCAGTTAATTAAAGAGTCACCTCTCTGCCCAAAAAGGAGTCCTCCTTCTCGAATATCAGGGCCAAGTACGTCACGCTGTTTGCTTGGAAGAAACTGTGAAGTTCTGCTGCACTGCAAAAACAAAAAGAACATCACATGCTAAATAAAGTTTGTTCTAAGATAAATAAGGGCTGAACATCCTAATCAGGCAAAGGCAAAGGCTGACTTCCACCCAGTGGTTCAGAACCTCTCCCTGGCCGTTGGGAACTGCAGTGAACCCACAGACTGATTGGAGTTATCGTATCTGTGACTGATTAGGGAATAACGGGGTTCTCACTTTTTAAAAAAATGCCCTTAAGCAGCATGCCAGCACCAAGCTATCTAGCAGGCACCACTTCTTATCTCCATCACCAGGCAAATCTTAACTTGTGACACTTCTGCCTGGCAGTAGAATTGCCTTTCAGGAGACAGGTGGGGCTGCCGCCCAAAACAACGTCTTTCCATGTCAAATTATCTCAATTTGTTACGCACAGGAGGGCCCCCCTGTGTGCCTACTTATTTTATTGTCCATCTTTCTCACTGGAACTCAAGGTGGATTACAAGCGCACTAGAACTATTCAGTCCCTCAATAAGCCGACTACAAAATACAATTGCATTTGAAGGATAATGGTATTTGAATCAAACCACAAAGATTCCTAGTAAAATACACTTATTCAGTCAATCAGAAAGCAGATTACAAAATGTGATAACAAATTTGAGACTCGCAGCAAAGGTCAGGAGTAAAACAACATAATGCAGTGGAGCTGGGATTGAAGAACAGAATAAAGTACACACATCAAGCAGCATCATGACATTGCAACAGAAAATATACAACGTGCCAACACAAGGTAAGGGTACATTGTACCTACCTGAAGTGTGAACCATGATTGGGTGGAAAGGCAGCATAAAAATGTTTTGAATAAATAAATAAAATAACAAAGAGGGAAACGAGGATGGGGTTGCTGTTTTGGGAAAAAGTTCCACAGCTTTTATAAAGTACAGGTGGGAGGCCTGTGAGACTCGCAGGGGAACCCCATTGCCCCCCACCCCCCATCGTGCAGTCTGGCATGGCTCCAGGCCCACCACCCACCTTGGAGCCCAGCTGCAGCAATGGTGGTGTCAGGGAACTGCTTTGAGCCCAGAGCAGCAGACGCTGCTGCCGCACCCGGCCCAGCCCGGCCCAGAGGGGTTCTCTGCGTCCAACACTGCTGCAGCCAGGCCGGATTGGTTCCCCGCATTTGCTGCTGCCACCTGTACAGAATAATAAAGGAATTATTCTGGAGGGAATTTAAAACCGCCAGTGTATTTTTAAAAAAGATTTCATATTCTTCTGCAAACCTCGTGGGTCCCCCAAGTCTGCAGGAAAATCTGTTTAGTGTCAGTGTGGCCCCAGTCCACAGATTTAGATGTCCACAGAGGGGGGCAACATATCGCTGTTAAGTGCATGGATAGTTCTGCACTTGGATTACAGTTTAAGATACAGGCCCCTTTAAAAACAGAGTGGTGGCCAACTTTAGGAGAAATCCAGAGGATTCCTGATATCACTCAGGAAGGGCTCTGACACATGCTGGGGGAGGGGCAGGGGCGGGGAGAGATTTCTTTGTCTCTATCCTTACAAGGACTTTGGGGAAGGGGGGAGGAATGGTTCTTGCTGGCCTAATTAGACCCCTTTCTCTGCAGCTTTAACTGATTAGAGAGAGCCAAGATAGGTAGGGATGGACATGAACCAGCTCTCAAACTAAAGTTTGAGACTAAAGTTTGAGACAAATTCTAGCTGGTTTGTGGTTTGCAAACTGAAGTTTGTGGCAGGTCAACTGATATGAACTTTCAAGTGTTTGTGGCGATTCGTGAATGGACACATTTCCAGACAGCCTGTCCCCGGTCAATCAAAATCTTTACCAAACTTCAAAGCAGCAGGGGAGGGTCAGAATTCTCTAGCCTTGGAAATACCAATAAGGGCCCTCCAAAGCTTAAAGACATTGCTGGCTGCCAGTAACAGAGTTCCCATTCTGATCTATGGGATCAAAACGCTATATATACCCTCAGCTCAGCTCTGCACCCTCTCCTCTGTTGGGTGCTGGCAATTAAACAGAGGAGGCAGGAAACTTGTTAAACGCAGAGCACATTCATTTATTCCTGATTGTGAACACCTCTCCCCTGGTGGGGTTTGGGGGTTAGGTGGACTCAGGGCTCTGAGCCACTCTGTCTCTCTGCTCTCTGCAAACTGGTGGGAGGGCAGGAAAGGAGACTCATGGCCACATAAAGGTGGAGCCAGATGACAGCCTGGCATGACCAGTACTCCATGGGATCAGCATTGATGGGCTCAGGGACTTGGTGAGGTACCCCCTCACCATCACCTTTGCTGAATCCTCCACCACTGCACGCCTGGCAACCAGTAGTGGGCTTTTTCCTAGTTGGGCTTTTCGAAGCAGAGGTGCTGGGCTGTGGTTCCTCCTCCTCCCCAGCCTCTTCTACCTGCTGTTCCCTCTGACCATGTCTGTTGGCCTGTAGCCTCTGCACTTCTTTGCAGAGCTCATTATTTATTTATTTATTTATTTCGATTTTTAGGTTGCCCTTCCTTGCAAGCAAGGCTCAGGGTGACTTAAAACAGAAGAGGACATACAATGAGTAATTAAAAGTTAAAAATCAAGAATAAATACATAAAACATACAGCATCAATAATTCAGCATAATTTGGTCAATTGAAGACGGTGGGGGAAAATTCAAATTTCACAGGCCTCTGGGAGGGCTGCAAAGAATGGAGGGTATGATAGTGTCAGACTACATACTGTACCATTGCTGTCCTCAACTGAATGCCTGGCATAACATCTCTGTCTTACATGCCTTGCAGAAAGGTAACAAATCCTGCAGGTCACAGAAATTCTGGCCCTGGTTGAGGACAGCCAGATCTCTCTTGAGCTGGGGACCACCAGGAGGTTCTTATCAGTCAAGCTTAATGTTCTGTGGGGGTATACTAGGAGAATATACAAGAGACCTCCCAGTTGACAATAGTCAAAATTATAGAAACAATCAGGGAAACGTTTTGTATATAATGTGATAGATATTACATTGAAATTTTATGCAAAGTGTAAATTAATTTTTCAATTTTCAAAGTGCTTAATTCATAAATTCATAGAAAATTACCTATTAGTTCATACATCAAAATTTCAATATATTAAGATGGTGGTCGGCAAACTGCGGCTCGCAAGCCACAGGCGGCTCTTTGGCCCTTGAGTGTGGCCTCGGATCGGGCCAGAACACACTGATACATCACTCTGGGAGAGAGGCACCAGGGGCGGGGCCGTCACATGGCGAAGCCCCACCCCCTTCTTCCATCCGCCCTCTGCTTCCAGCCTCATTCTGCTGTAGAATAAGAAAGAAGCAGGAGGGTAAGTCGGCTTCCTCCCCCCATCTCTTCCTTGCCGAGGCTGCTTCAGGGCCAAGCCAGACCTTCCCGGAGGTGCATGAAGCCGTGCACCCTGGGAAAAATCTCCCCCCCCTCTTCCTGGCCGAGGCTGCTGGAGCAGCCTTGGCCAGGCCTCCAGGGCAAAGCCAGACGTCTTGGAAGATGTGGAAGTCCAGGGTTGCCACGCAGGGGCAGGCGATGGAAGACCACCTGTGTGTCTGTGTGTGGGGTTTTTTTTGCCCTGACCTGGAGGCCCCGGACTGGCTTGATCTCATCAGATCTTGGAAGCTAGGCGAGGTTTAATTTAATTATTCTGGAGGGAATTTAAAACCGCCAGTGTATTTTTAAAAAAGATTTCAGATTCTTCTGCAAACCTCGTGGGTCCCCCAAGTCTGCAGGAAAATCTGTTTAGTGTCAGTGTGGCCCCAAGTCCACAGACTTAGATGTCCACAGAGGGGGACAACATATCGCTATTAGGTGCATGGATAGTTCTGCACTCGGATTACAGTTTAAGATACAGGCCCCTTTAAAAACAGAGTGGTGGCCAACTTTAGGAGAAATCCAGAGGATTCCTGATATCACTCAGGAAGGGCTCTGACACATGCTGGGGGAGGGGCAGGGGCGGGGAGAGATTTCTTTGTCTCTATCCTTACAAGGACTTTGGGGAAGGGAGGAGGAATGGTTCTTGCTGGCCAAATTAGACCCCCTTCTCTGCAGCTTTAACTGATTAGAGAGAGCCAGGATAGGTAGGGATGGACATGAAACAGCTCTCAAACTAAAGTTTGAGACAAATTCTAGCTGGTTTGTGGTTTGCAAACTGAAGTTTGTGGCAGGTCAACTGATATGAACTTTCAAGTGTTTGTGGCGATTCGTGAATGGACACATTTCCAGACAGCCTGTCCCCGGTCAATCAAAATCTTTACCAAACTTCAAAGCAGCAGGGGAGGGTCAGAATTCTCTAGCCTTGGAAATACCAATAAGGGCCCTCCAAAGCTTAAAAGACACTGCTGGCTGCCAGTAACAGAGTTCCCATTCTGATCTATGGGATCAAAACGCTATATATACCCTCAGCTCAGCTCTGCACCCTCTCCTCTGTTGGGTGCTGGCAATTAAACAGAGGAGGCAGGAAACTTGTTAAACGCAGAGCACATTCATTTATTCCTGATTGTGAACACCTCTCCCCTGGTGGGGTTTGGGGGTTAGGTGGACTCAGGGCTCTGAGCCACTCTGTCTCTCTGCTCACACTGAGCAGAGCGGCTTAAGCTACTGGGTGCCTCGGCTGAGGGCCCAAATATACCCTCCCAACCCTCCTGATTGTGAACACCTCTCCAAAGAAAATCTCCTTCACTCAACACCTACCTCATGAAGCAACATCCACCTCAACAAACATGTGCCTGTACAAGCCAGCCCCTGTTTGACTACCCCTTTCCAATAAATTTGTACAATTCACAGCAGGTGACTTCTTATCTGTACAAGGTGTTCAGCTAATGGCGAATAACCAGAAATTTCACCTAGGGGTGGGCTGTGTGACCGGAGGATCGATGTCTTTGGGCCTGAGGGGGGCTGGGAGCATTGGGGGCACACCAAGCTGGGTTCCACTGCTTGCCGGGGGTCTCTGCCAAGCCACTGTGGGGTTACTTTGAGGAGCCCCTGTGAAAACCTTGGGGATGTCTGCCTTTCTGTCCTTC